TTTTGACAAAATGAGGAACATCATGGACAATAGTGAGCGTCCTCTTTATCAGACTGTTAATCCCAACAGAATGCTTTTAGTCAAAGGCTTTCTCCAGATCCAGTGCAAGACAGACCACTACAGAATTGGTTCCTGTCTACAGCTATCAACATCTACAACAACTTGTTAAAAAATGTGTTGTTTCTAGATGGTGGAATGACCTACCAAGAGCTACAACAACAGCAGCGTCCCTGTCTATCTTCAGGAAACTCCTAAAGACCCACCTCTGCAAAGATCATCTCCTATCCTAACTCTCACCCGTAGATCTGTACCCCTCTACTACTCTTTCTGTACTTCCATCTATCTCTTAGATGTCACCACTGATTCTGATTAGGGATTTTCTTCTAGAGAACTTACTTTCACGTTGATGATAACTGTAACATTGATTAGATTTTCACCATTGTGACACTAATCAATTCAATCTAATCAATTTCAATTTAAATAATTCAATTTAAAAATGGCAAATCTGATACAAAAATACTAAAAACGTTTAGACTTACTTTGATGCTTAATATCAATATAAGACATATGGGAAATACAAGAGATTACTGTGATATGCAAAAAAAAGTATTGGCTACCTCCAGCACCTCTTCTGGTGTTCCTCACCCTCTCTGGTGACGACCTTCACTATGCTACTGTGTATATAAAAGGTAATACTTATTAAATTAGGATACCATTAAACAGTTTGTTTCAGAAATTTAATTTGCTACAAGAACCACATGACAATAGATTTATTACCCCCATATTGATGTTTGAAGACCTTTATTTATATTAATCATGATTCTTATGAAAATATGACATTTATGATAAAAATAACCTATCAGACCAATAGGAAAAACATTTCTAATTCAACATGTGGGTTTAAGGTAAGTTTAGGGTCATTATTTATGAAAGATATTTTTAATCTGTGGAAGGAGAGTAATTGGAACCACAAATCTAATTTTTGGAACATTGCAAGTAGAGGAGTGAAATTCCAAAAAGGTTAGAAAACAACCCATTGGTCTTTGTTTCTAAGTTTGAAGATGTTTCTCTTCCCATCCAGGAAACTTTTTCAATTCAAAAACGGAATTTATTTATTTCTGTTAATTTAAAGAGACATTATGTAGGTTTTTACTGATAAATATCTTTTTAAAATAGCTTCTTTTATTCAACCTTTTACGACTAAAACATTGTTTGACAAGCAGACTGAAACCACAGTAATTCAGTTTTGATGCATCTATAAGTCTGTTGCTGATTTTCCTGAATTTATGCTGGTGAAGATTCTCAGTTAGGGTCGTTGTTGGCCTGGCTTAACATAGCACCTGTTCACCCAGGCCAACAAAGACCGTTACGATCCCCCAGTACATAGGCATGGGCCAGTTTCAGGTAGATCGCAGGCCGACACACCCTTAACGACTCCCCATTAAAAAAGGAGTGGACTTCTTTTTGGTTTAATTTGCATGTTTTCTAAGCCATAACAAGGCTTTTGATGGGCTTCTCTAAAGCCTGGAACTCAAAGCTACTCCAGACACTTTGAATGTAGAAATTTTTCTGGATGGGAAGCGAAACGTCTTCAAACTTGGAAAACAAAGTCAGTTGAGGTAATGTGAACTACTGTCTATGTGATCAGCATTTAAATTTTTAAATGAACTCGTAGGTGAATGCTTCCCTGTCCTGCATCATGTCTTGGTACATTATCACTGTCTACAGAAGACTGTTAACTCACCATTGAGAAAATTACAATTGTTTGCAAATGTCTCAAAAAGTAGAGCATTCAAAGTATTTGTACTTTTAAGTCTCTGAGGCAGAAATAAAGAACTTTTTTGAATGCATTGAATGTGAAGATCAATGTAACCGAAGATGAGAAGTGCAGGATAAGTAAATCAAAATACATCCTGCTTGACCTGTTCTAACTTCCTTCCAAATTATTAATTTTGGTGGACAAAAGACTATAGACCTGCTTTTTAAAAGTAATTGCTATAGTTACACAATTTCCACTGTTTCAATGACTGAGAAGACATTGTAATATTTTTATCAGAAAAGGATGTTCAACTCTCTTTGAGTTTTTAAGCTACATGAACGAGTTTGGCGCCCATCTTTGTTTTTCAGATGCTGATTTCGTCTTTTTTTTGTCTTGGTATTTATGATGTAAAAACTTTCAAACACGTTTTGTGATGAACATTGATTGATAGGTTGACAGTTTTACTAAAAGTGTCTCACTGTGGGATATTTTCAATATTCATAGCATCACAGATTACCTGCAAAATATATCTGTTTATTTGAAACAAACAAACATAAACATGCAAATTCAACTGGAAGAAGAGGTCAGCACCTTTGGGATGGGGAGTCGTTAAGGTCTTTGTTAGCCTCCAATTTTCCGATACTGGTCTATACCTCTAAAAGGGGGGAGTCATTAGTGGTATTATTGGCCTGGCTTACCAGGCGAGTTGTCTTGGTCCTCTGCAAGGTGATGAGGATTATGATAGAGGGAAGGAACCAACTCTATCGCTGCGTTGTGCGTTTATTTTTAACAAGATCAATCTTATTTATAAAGAATCCCATAAAATCATTACTGCTAAGAGCAGGTAGGATGGATGGTCCAACTAAGCTATGGCTCTGGGTGAGTTTGGCAAATGTATTAAAAAGAAATCTAGGATTATTCTTATTCTCTTCTATTAATGAGGAGAAATATGCTGCTCTTGCTTTACAAAGGGCCGCCTTTAATGGTCTTCTTTGGTTTGAAATGTACTGGGATTTTGTTTTTAGAAAAAAATCCTCTTGAGTTTTTCAGAGACTCCAGCAACTTATGGCATTGCGACGCTTTTGCCTTAAATCTTCTCACAGTTATGTTCTGCTGCGTGTCTTTTGGATTTCCTTGCTGATTTGACAAACACCCAGTTTGGGTATCCAGAGGTTTGAAGAGCATCTTTGATGTGTTTCTGTTCTTTGTGCTTCCCTTCTGTTTTAGAGGGGACATGCTCGACCTGATGTTGTAAGGTTCAGAGGTTTGTTCCAGTGGGTGGTGTGAGTCAAAAAGAAGATATTGGTCTTTGTCAGTGGATTTCCTATACACTTTAGTGTTGAGGTTTCCATCTCCTTCCATGCTTATTGAACAGTCCAGAAAAGGTATCTTTTTGTTGTCAGCATCCTTTCTGGTGAACTTGATGTTCACTTGATGCGTATGTATATATGCGTATGTATATATGCGTATGTATATATATATATATCAAATATTGACCGAATGGTAATGGCAAACCAACAGGACATTGTGGTGGTGGACAAAAAGCAGAGAAAAGCCGTTACGGTTGACAGCAATACCAAGTGACTGCAACATGAGGAGTAAGGAACATGAGACACTAGAGGAAAAACCAGGGGCTCAGAGAAGAGCTGGAGAAAACCTGTAAGGTCAAAGCATCAGTGGTGCCCGAGGTCATTGGGGTACTTGGGGCAGTGACCCCCAAGCAGGAGGATCGGTTACAGCAGATCCCTTAAATACGTCAGACATCTTGGTCCAGAAAAGTGCAATTCTAGGAACAGCATAAAAACTGTTCAGAACCCTCAAGCTCCCAGGCCTCTGGTAGAGGACCCGAGCATGGAGGTCTAGTAGCCTGTTATACAAAAATGTTTGTTGATCTGTGGAAGATGTTCCCTAATGTCAACTCATAAAGAAAAAAAACAAATTCTGTTACAAAATATTTTTTGTTTTATTTTCTATTGTTACTTGAAACTGCATTTTTTTTTATTAACACATTTTGTTTGGCGGATTTAGAATCATCATATTTTAATTATTACATAAGGTTATGCGTTTTGCTTTCACAAATGCACGTTTGAACACTTAATGCCGTTTAAAAAGAAAAAAACATAAGAGTACAGAAACAAATCAGAAATGTCTCACCCTATATGATGCCCTGAAAATCCACAGCTTGTTCTTTTGTTTCATACTCTACAGAAATACATTAGTGTTATTACAGCTAAATAGACGTTTGCCCCAAACAGATTTTTTATTTTATAGTTTTTTCCAAATTTAGATGTTTCAGATTTTCGTAAAGGGTACAAATCACACAAAGATAATAAATGCTGATAAAAAGAAGCCAACAATTTTTTCAATTAAAAGTCGGAAAAACTACCCAAACCAAAAAGTCTATGAAAGAGTTATAAAGCTCTACCTCTAACTGCTTCTTGTGTCATCTTTGGCTTTTTTGGCAGAATGTATTCAGTGACACTGTGACCTTTTAAGGTAATGCCCAAGTAATTTAAATCAGATTTACCTGCACACTTGAACCATATCAACCCATATCGTTTAATTAATTTCTCTGAGGTGGACTTGCTAGAATACTTTGAATCATTATCCTGCTGCACCCAAACTAGCTGGGGAAAACAATCATAAACTTGCAGGCAGACATTCTCCTGAAGATTTTTCTGCCAATGATCAGAATTCATCAGTCTATTGGTTTCGGGAATTAGACAATTTCTCGAAACACCAAATCGGCCCCCAATCATTACACTATAATATACCTGGGGCTTAATTTTACACTCGAAGAACACCACGTCCCAAAAAGCTCCACTCTTATCTTGTCTTATATTTTTTCTTAACTTGTTGATCATGAAATTTTGCATTTTGTTAAGCAGCTGTCAGACATACTTTCTAATGTGGAACTCTCCAATGTGTACCATTTTGTCAAATCCCATGATTGTTTTATTAAGAATTTATTTTAAAAATAAAAAAAGTGAGGCCTGAGGTGCTTAGGGTGTTCTAGAATTTGGCCACCTGGGATAGGTTCATCCATGTTTTACGTTTTTCTACTATTGCAGCTAATAACTGATGGTGACATTGAAACTTTTTTGATTAAGTTAAACATTTTGTTGTAAAGAAAAATAAAACCAGAAGAAATCAGTCAAAGGGGTGAACTGTTTTAAAAGCGATATAAACTGATTAAGATAAAAGAATCGGGGGAAAAAAACAATAACACAAGAAAGTCATGTATGTGTATACATCCCAAAACTCATTTAATCAAGCTTTCTGTTCCATGTACAGATACACCACAACACAGTTATAATCTCCGTTGATTGTGAAGTGTAATACTGCTTTTGTATGCAATGTTTAATCTCTTGAGTTATTTTGGAACAACGCTTTTTCTTTTTCTTCATAAACACTTTTAGGAATGTCAGCTAAATGAAAACAAATCACCATTAGTACCAAAACTACTGATTTTCAAGGTAAATGTTATCTCTAATATAGAAAAAGAATAAGTTTGCATGAATGTAATTATCGTTAACATCACTTAGCATTGAGTCTGAGCAACACTTTTGATTATCTTGAGCGGTAAAAAAAAATGGCTGACAAAGGCCATCTCCATGGTGCCTGCAAACAGGTAATAACATCTATTTGGTAACAAATCTGAGGGATAAAAACAAACACAGGCAATCCTTGCTCAAGTGCAAACCTATCCTTCTCCTTAGGCAAATCATATCAAGTGGTTATAAAAATGGTTATGATAAAATACAAAGTCAAACAACAGTTATAGTATTTTCAAAATGACTCTCACACCCATAAAATATTTCATTTGTGTATAACTAGCCCAAAAAATAAGGTAAACTCACTGCCTTTGTGCAAAGTAATAGTCATTTACTCATTACTTATAGCTTTGAGATATTTTAAAAGCTTTAGGGAAGAATTGCAAATCAAAAACAACAGAAAACTGTCAAATAGAGGATGGAGGAAAAAAGTGAGAAGCCATCATCAGGTCTGATTTGTGAATCAGTGATACAACTTTATGCAGCCTTGAAGGAGGTAAGGAGCTTGTAGAGAAATAGAGCTAATGAGGTAGGTTCTTGCTGTAAACAAAAAAGCAATAATTTCCAGTAAGAAAAAAAAAATTATTAAATCTTGAAAGGAAGACCGGGAAATCTGTGGCAACACGAAAGACTCCATCTTGTACACCTCAGTATTACACAGACCTAAAATTAATAACACAGCTCATAAAAATAAAAAAATAAAAAACAGAAACATTTGTATAACTCAAGAGGTAGTGGCTAACACCAGTACTTGAACTGTAATATGTCACTTCAGCATCGCTTAAGAGTCTGTGGAGTGTGTCAGTGGATGATTCCCTAACAAATATTATACACTTTGTTTTTGTTTTTTTTCTTTTCTTTTCTTTTCTTTTTTTTTTGGTTAATTCCCTGAGACCAGTTAATCATCCTGAGAGGACCTGTGAGTAAAAATGTAAAAAATACATCATACAAAAAGATGTTTCCATTGAGATTTGAGCATGAGCTGAAGTTTGGTCGACCATTTCTTTTACGCCGAGCTGCATTTGTGGTTTGATTTTCAATGCACGCACACACTCAAAGCTGTATATATATATATATATTTATAAAAAAAAAAAAAAACACTGTGTTGCACTTTCGGCTATAAGATGCTCTGATTCTGAAAGAGTAAGAGGAATAGCAAGCACTTCAGCAAGTCTTAACTTTAAATGCCTTCAAAAGAATCAAAATTTAAAAAGCCAAACCTCTTTGATATAGAAATATACCAAAAAGGTTGTTTGTATTAACATGGCTTTTAAAACACTCACATGCCAGTTTGATATAATTGTACAAAGTTATTTGATTTGTCAGAATATTAAGAAACAACTCCAAAGCGACCTTACATGAACATTGTGAGAAGTCGACTTCAGATGAGCTCTATTCACATTCAGTATGGTCAGAGAAGAGTTGTTAGTGTCAGTAAGTGCCACTAAAGCCATGCTTGGGATTCAAGTTATACCAAAAGCAACATAATCCATCCAGCTAGTTCTCCCTCTATTGTTTCGATTCTGGAGCAGTAGCAGCAGAGATGTCATCCAATTACCTAGCTGGTGCTGAATGACAAATGCTAGGCACTGACGGATGAGAAAATATGGTTCGATTATACTAAGAAACATAAAACAACACTGAGAAAAGCAGACATTATCGAAATTCACTTCCCAGAGGAAGAAGTTGTGAGGTATCATGTGAGTAAAGCAGCTATGATAATGAGGTTATGTTGGAAACTGCACCTTCAAGGTGAGTTTTGTGCTGTGAGCATACAGTACCTTGCAAAATTAGATATTTTTTACATTACAACCACAACTTCAAGTATTTTTGTGGGATTATATGTGACAGAATCACAAGTAAAAGGATATGTAGTTTTTAATTTAATTTTTTGTTCCAGTCAAGAATTTTAAAAGTATGCTGTTTATCAATACACAGACCCCTCAACCTCAGGCCCCCATTGAAAAATCAAATGCAAACTGAGTCTACAATTTTAATACATTTTCTATTATTTACACTCTATATAAGGTGGTTTAGAGTCAATGAATGATGGAATGAGCCTGTTAGTCTGTTTGAGACATTTTTTAAAGAAGAATGTAAGACGAAAATGCAATCTCTTGATGTGCAAAGCCAGTGCAGACACACACAGCAAGGGCTGCACCTCTTAGGAAACAAATACTGAATAACAATATTGATCGCTGTAAATCTATTTAGGACTGGAACAATTAATTGGATTAATTCTGATATATCCATTATTGAAATAATCGTCAGCTAATTTAGTAATCGAATAATTGTTAACTGGAGAATAGAGACACTAAAACCGGCCTTAGCTGTTCAGAAAAACCCACTTAGGGCAGTAAAAATACAAAGAATGTAAAAAAAATATATAAGCATTTTACATTTAAGATTTAAAAAAAATATATATATATATATGTCAATATGCTCTATCCAGAACTAACAAGTGGAAATGTGTTTGATTTTCACCTGGTTTAATTTCATAAAAAGTGTTCTTTAAGGAATCTTTGGCTACCCAACTATTAGTTGATTAATCAAAAAATAATCGACAGATCAATCGATTTGCAACCCTGAATCCATTTTTCTCCATCTTATTCTTTCATAACAAATTTCCCACACATTCTTTGCATGTTTTAACAATATGCTTAAATAAAATCTATAGTTTCTGTTGGACTGGAGTAAGTGTCCATGCAACAGGCCATGAATAGTACTGACATCCAGAGTTTTAACAACAGTACCAGTAATATTAAAATCAACTAAATATCCCAAAAATATCCCATCTTTGTGTTGATCTATCACATAAAATCCCAAATAAAAGTGTTGACATTTGTGGTTGTTTCATCATAAAATGTGGGGGGGGAAGGAAAGGGTATGATTAGTTTAACAAGGAACTGTATGAACTGATCAATATAAGAAAAAGTGGAGTATAGTTTGGGAAAAATGGAATAGTCTATGAGAAAAATGATTAAATAGAGGGAGAATTTTCACACACAATTATGTATCCCATGCACTTAAACAGGGCTATGCACCTATTTCAGAGCTAATTCCTTATATATGCTTACATAATGTTAATATAACTTTAATTATATCTTGTAACTTTACATATATATTAAAAACTACTTTGAACTAATTACGTAACAACCAAAATGGGAGTCTAATGATAAGGCCTTTACTTAACATCTAAACTATGATTTAGACTGATTATATATTTTTCTTATATGACGTTTCTATCTGTGATAATATGAAACTTGTAGAGTTAACAGCCGTGACTCTATCTTGAAGAAGACAGTGCTCCGGTTTGACAATTCTGATTTCTTTCAGAGTATCCATACCACACACTTTCCTCCTCTGTCTTAGTCTTGCACTTGTTCACACTTCAACAATCAGTTGGTCCGGTCTGTGTCAAGAGATATGTATGGAGGGTTGTGATTAGAGAGAATGTACACATAGCAGCTTGGTGGCTTTTTAAACAGCCCCTCAGGAATGCATTAAGTTTCTCCAAAAGGTCCTTAGAAGCCAAGCTAAAAGTCCGATTGGGTCTGGATTATTACTTAGAGGGATGCAAGCTCTTAAGAGTTGGCCTCTAATCCTTTTTCAAATGAGCTACCATGTGTGCTGCGAAGATGCAATCAGGAATTTTTCTCTCTTCAAATGATTGCGCTTACGGTATAAAATTGTGGCTTTAAGTCAGCAACATAGGTGTGTGTGTGTTGGTTGGGGGAGGGCTTCTAAAATAGCCCCCTTTCAGGTCCAAGGGGTAACAGAAATAAAACAGTCATCGAAACCTACAAACAAATCACATTTCACCAATGAGCTGCAACCTCTGAAACATAAAGAATTATTCCCTGCAGTCACCTTTCCAGCAGTCGTTTCCATAGCTGCACCAGATGACTGCAAGTCAGTCACACACATTCATGCACGTCCGTACCCCGCTGATCGTTGCCGCAGCTGTGCTGGTTAGAAAAATAATACATAATGAAAATAAAGAAATAAAAACCTCCCATTTATTCACAATTGTGAGGTAGACGAGGAGGGAGGGGTAGGGAGGGGGGCTTCAGGTAACCTTGATTGAGGATAGACTCGAAGGTCAGAGGCTATGCGCTGGAATCAGTTCACCTCTATAGGATCTTTTCAGGATTTCCTCCACCTTTGGGTCCATGAGCTGCGGTGTGTTTGGGGCTCCTCGGGAGATGAGGAGGATCCCTCCAGGGGAGACGAGCTTGAGCGCTCTTCCTCCTCAGGGAGGCCGAGGTGGGGCCCGGTGCCTGATGCGGAGGCCGAGGTAGACGCTTGTGGGTCCTGAGAGCCTACGGCGGGTGCAAGCGCCTTGTGAGGACACTGAGCAACCATGTGTGTGATGCTCTGGCAGTAGTGGCATTTCTTTGGCTGTGGGGGCAGGCCACACTCCTTGGCATGGTGATCCAGACCTCCACAGTTATAACAGCTGCCAATGACAAAAAAAAAGTTTACAATTAAATATCTGTGTGGTGTTAATCTGCATCCATATTTTACCGTATTTGTTGCTAAAAATCCTGCAACCTTTTCTTAATTTTTTATTTTCTACAAGGATTCCTTTGTGTTATACTCTAATCATTGCAGAGTTTCCCCACATCTGCAAACAAGCTGCATACATTTAGATTTCTCACTTTTTAAAATTCTGATTGGTTACCACTATCAAAAAAACTAATCTTAATGATAAATCTGAAAGGAAATTAACAGGAAGAAAAACATAATCAGTGTTTCCCTTTTAAGATTACATAATTTTCCTATTATTTGTTCTGTATTTAAATCATTCTTATTGTTATCATGGAGCAAAAAAAAAAAAACTCACATCTTTTAGGATAAATCCATAACCATGATACTGATCTTTTTTATGTGTTTATCTGTTATGCCAGCTGACATAAGCTACGTAAATTGTAATTTTCTTATCTAAGAGAATGCATTTGATTTTACATGTTTGTTATATGTAAATAACTGCAATATCTAAATAAAACAACAAAAAAACACCCCTTTTAAGTAATAAAGTACCATTGAAACTGCCCCGAATGATAACTTAGTAAAAAAGGAATGTCAAAATTTCACATTTTTTTAACTTCAGTAGCAATATGGAATTTATTAACTCTTATTCATATCGATATTAAAAACTGAGGGGTTTTTTTTCTTAGATTAATACTTTTTTTACAATATATAAGGTATATCATTCAAAGGTATACAATATAAAATGTATGCAATACATTCTATTTTAGCACAAAAAGGGTAATTCCTGCACAGTATAAATGATAAAGCCTTAAAGGCATAGTGGAGGATGCTGTTTTTCCGGGTGGATCATCTTAATACGAGTTCCTCCTAATTGTCAATCAACATGGTGATACGTTTACTTAAGTCCGTCCTACATGATCGTCCACATTTTTACTTGCCGGTGGTGAGTCTGACATAGTGGAAAAATTGCAAATCTTCTTTTGGAAAGTAAGCCTGTATGAGTGATGCAAACAGAAACTTTTAAACAGAGCGTGCACGAGGAGAAATTGGCTCGTGCACGCTCTTGCACACGTTTAATAGGCGTGTGAATGGGTTTAGGGCTGTGCATGTGCATGTGGAGATGGCGGGTCTTTGAGAAAATGTGCAAATATCCTCCACTATACCTTTAAGGTCCAAAACAAAAGAAGTGAGAAATGAGTAAAGGGGCTTAGAAAACATAAAGTTTTGTACAAAGCCTTATCCTTTGACTTGACAGCTTAACGGATGCCCTATCAAAAGGACAGATTTCAACATAAATTACCATCAGTAGCTTATTAATTCAAAAGCTTCAGGAAAGTGTGTATTTGTGTTTTTGATTAGAACCTGATAACAATGCAGAAAATTTCTTTTAAGCAATACTTACCATAAAATCTAAAGACAGAGCGAATAAATCACCACTGTGAACTAGTGTTGCTCTGGTAACAGAACAATTATTGGTGATTAAAAATGACTGAATGAAATGCAATATTCCCTGTTTTCATAATGAAGGGGTTAACATGCAGAAATGTACAACCTGGATATTCACTTCCAAGAACCTAGAAATAAAGATGATCTCTGGAAGATGTTGAAATGTTTCAGGCTGTTTCTAGAAGTACAAGATCTGGTTGATTTGATTTAGGGTTTGTTTTGTTTCTAACCAACGTTAACCTCATTGATCTAAATTGTACACCAGAAATTTCCCTGTTAATTAGATCAAAATTCCCATTATTCCTCTGTGTAAACACATTAAAACACAAAGGACATGTTTTTATTGTTTTCCTATTTAATTCAGTAAAAAGTAACAAACACCAAATAATCAAAATAAACAAGACTACCCTTGTTATCCTTTTATTTGACTCAAAACTACAACCTTCATCTTTTTTTAAATGATCCGTGTTTCAAACAAATATTTTCTGAATTAAAAGAGCGAACAATCGAATTTCAATGTTAAATCAAATTTGGTTGTTTGGAAAGAGAGATTTAAAAACAAGAAATCTATTTGTCTGATTACAAGTTTTATCATTTGTCATTAAAATAATAATAAATTACTCTTTGGATTTTGATAAATGATGATATTGACTGATAAAATGTATAACTAAAACTGAATAATGTCTAAAACTATTACTAATCCATGTTTACACACACATAAACCCATGTTCATATATAAGAGGGAGAGAAACAGAAAAATAATTAAATATAATCTTCATGAAATAAAATAGGAGATAGAATTTGTCAGACAGAATTTCTTATTTAATAAAATTCCTAAGTAAGGGGATATTAGAGGTGTAGCAGTGTGTTCGTAAAATGCAGCAGCCAGTAGGGGTCAGCATCGCACCTCTTTAAAAACAGCTGCAGCATTGAGCATGCTCACTGTGACCAATGACGTCACAGGGATGTACCTGCCATGAATCCAACACCGGCTCCTTCCAACCTTGGTAGAAGTTACACACTTGACCTATTACCGGATCAATTATCCAGAATGAACTGAATTATTCAGCTGTGTAAAACAACCAGGGAGCCTTTCTCTCAGATACAGTTTCCGGCTTTCCAACAACAGCGTTTATGTTCTAAATATCCAGAGGAGCACAACAATACCCCAGGTGTTTTCCAGTAACAAAGCGTGATCGACTGGGGTTTTTGAATACAAATGCATTCTTGATACAATACAGTTGCATTTACTCTAACCGGCCTGATTTGGTGCACATTGAATGAAAGCGTTATCTTTCCCTCTGAGGACAGGGAACACACTCACCTTCCAGGTGTTCTCAAGGACCCTCACATCACAGCTTTTGATGGATTTTAGAATAGCGCCAATTCAGAGTGTTTTAGAGAACATAAAACGATTGAGCTGCGGCAGCACAGCATATTTGTGATTACACTGTCAGTAATATAAAAGCTGGCAAATTGATTTAAAATGGCGCTTATGGCGGGCAGAAAGCTCTGTTCATTTTCATATTACGCCACACAATAACCATGGCAACAAGCATGTAAGGTTGACTAGACTTAATCTATAATGTCCCCTCCGAAAGGGCTGAATTCTATACATCTACAAATGTCTGTTTCATTGCAGATACATTTTTCACACACATACACACATTAAGTATCTACAGACATATCAATGTTGATTAACTAGAAGTATAAGGCCTACCGATCTCCCTTTGGTTTACGTTTCTGGAGTGGGACCTTCCCTTTAGGTCTCCTCTCACTGCCCGCACACGGCCCTCCACCAGGTCCAGTCACCCGCACAGACTCCAGGCCCTTAGAAGACTTCTTATACGTGAACTCCACCTGCTCACCCTCCTTTAAGCTGCGAAAGCCCTCCATCACCAGTTTGCTCTGTTGGGAAATTGACAATAAATATCTAAATGAGTCGGTTCCCAATTTTAAAGTGAAAAAACATGGATAGCTGCAATGGTGCACACAGATATTTGCAATGTATTTTTGGAATGCAGTACAAGATGAAACGTTCCAATCAGCCAGCTAAACATCAAAATTGAACAATTTTCCCTTCAGCTGCTGTGATTATTTAAAAGCATAAAAACAAAGAAGCCTCACCATCTTCTGAAAACAAATTTGATAGAAAATGCAACTTGACCAAACATAAATAATTTCTGATGCATATATCAAATTTCTCCTGTAACTTATCTAAGGCTGCAACTTTTTGGTGAATTGATTAATCAAATAATAATCGGATGGCAAACGGTTCCTTAAGAAGAATTTAGAATGAATCTAAACCAAGTGAAGATAAAACTGCACCCTTTGATAGCTTTTCTGGATAGAGCATCTTACTGAACAAAAAGAGGTTTTTGATAAATGCAAAATGTTTATTGTTTATAGTTTTGGTCTTATAACTGCTATTGGGTTGCTCTGTCAGCTAAACGCATGTTTTAGAGTTTCTATACTCCAGTTAATAATTAATCGATTACTAAATGAGTTAATGATTATGTCAATGATCGAGTAATCTCCATTATTCAGATCTAAACTCGTTTTTTTTTTTTTTTTTTCCTGGCTTGACTTAAAAATTTGAATTACATTAAAAAAACCTCGTCTGTGATTTTTTTTTCTTCTCTTTTATGTTTTAAGCCAAATGAGGACAAAAATCTAAGATGGTTTATCAGAGTGAGAAAGAAAATAACAGAGAAATTGTCACTAGAAAAATCTGTTTTACTTCCGTGTTTAATATAAATTAATTATGTTTTTATTAGAGCAAAAAAATATATAATATGAAAAATATCAAAAAGCTGTTTTAAATTTTATGCAATTATTCCTAATTTCTAAATCTGTAGCCTTTTTTTTTCTTTCATATGTTAGAAGATCAGCTCTTAAACACTGGAAATATCTACAACCCAGGAAAACAAAATTAATATATAATATGAAAAATATACATACACACACTTTATATTCATTAAAGGGTTGAAAACTAAGAACTTGCTCCATTGTATACATATAAATACATCAGTTGACATTATGTACTTTTATTCATTTTTTTGAGTTAAGTATAAATCTAAACCACAAAAATAAGAATGTGTTTTCAATACTTTCTTTGTAAATTAACCTGCAGAGCATTTTGTCTGTTTTACATTTAATAGTCAATCAAATAAAACCATAAATTTGGACTCTAAGACCTCCTAGAAGCAGTTATTAGCATTGAATTGGGAAAAAAAAAAACTACTAAAATAAAAAAAAAAAAATTAAGTTGGGCAAATTCTACAATATTAAGAATTTTGTGACAAAACAATAATACAGCTGTCCACTGAATCAAAGCTGAGTCTCGACAAGATTTTCAGGCATTTGAAAACAAATTAAGAAAGAAAGAAGAATTTAAATTATGTGGAGTTAAAGTAATGCTATCTCTTAGAAACCTTGCAAAAACTATTTCAATTCACATAGCATTTTGTCTTTACTATATTAAAAATGCTATTGCTTTTTTTCTTTATGTTCCTGTTAAATCTGTGTCTGACAACTCCACACCCATAGGGGCAAATTTAACACATACATAGCGAGCAATCACCACATATATTATAACTGCGAACAAACAGCTCTTCAATTAACACTTTCTAAAACCAAATTGCTTTTCACAGAACACCATCCATAAACACAAAATAAATGTTACTATGTGGGATTTTTCACAGCGGTACATGAAGTAAAAAAAAAAAAAAATCACCTTAAATGAGACAGAGGCTCTTTTTTCTAAACATGCTATATCGATATAACATGACGGTTTGTCCTTGCCGTGCTCTCTTTATCTACTATTACAGAGATGCCACTTCCTATTCCTTCTTCAGCCTCAAAAGAGAAAAGGGATAGGGATGCCATCGTTTTCGTTCAACACCTTCACCATCCATCTTATCTACATGATCCCAGCTATTGATTTAGTTACTGCACAACCAGCAGACAATGATTTATGTCTCGTTGATCGAGACAGAAATGGCAACTTATAGGCACTGTATCCGTGACCTTCGCGAATCAAGGCGAGCCCTGCAGATCCTGACATAGGTAAACACACACACCCACACAAGCAAGCAGCATGCAAGAGCAGGCCTACAACCTGCTATACATCAAGGACTATAAATAACAAATGCTGGCTATCTGTAAAAGCAATGCCGGCTAAAGACATGGTGTGTAGGAGAGAGGAGAAAATAGACGCTTATATCAGAAAGAATGAAACACTAAAGTAAAGAGCCAGAATAGAAAATTCACTTGGAGGCTATTTTTCCACCTCAACCCCACTGCAGTTATAGGAAGCTAAAAGCCATCTATATGAGTCTTATATTTACTAATAAATATATACAGGAGGAAGAAATAAGGTCAGTGTGTACAACAAAGAGAAGAAACTACAAAAAGCTTAGTGGATGAGCGCCGTGCGCTTTGATTTAAAGCTTAAAATCGGCTAAAAGTTTAGAGATTTTCATGTGTATAGTTTACATTAAACAGCAGCAAAGGAGTCCTATTTATTAAATCTTTTCAGGTGAAAATATCATTGATAAAAAAAAGAGGGAAATTTTTCAACATTTGTTTGTTTATAATGACAAATGATCCAAAAGCGTTGATGAAAACTTTTAAATTCTTTATAATTTTTATTGATTTCATAAAACCATTCTAAATCATATCTGAAAGGCCTGAAGGTTTAAAAAATGAGGAAGCATTTAACCAATAAGCTAAAACAAACAACTTTAGATAAAAGTTTGACACGCATTTGAGCATTTTATTTTGCTTTTCGTACGACAAATTACCCATCATTATTTCAGTCTAATTTATGCTGTATTACAGCAAATTTATTTGGAGATTACTGCTATTTTTAATAGACAACCGCAATTATTCACATCTCTGGTAGATTTAGATTTGTAGTAATTATTTGATTTTATCAACCTGTTTTTTTTATAACTAGAAGTAGCATTTATGTTTTGGAGTGGCCCAACCATAGCCTCCATTTTAATCTGTGAAAGGAGTCGATTAAGGTGATTTAAAGAGGCCTTCCAAGCTCAAAGACTTGGAGTTGATCACAAAAAAAATATTTCAAAATAACAACAGGGCCAATTAATCTAATTAATTTATTAATTAATTAAGACTAAATATCTTACAAGTGATTATTTTAAGGGTATATTTTTTTTCACATGCAATTCTATTGATAAAAATCCTATTCCTTGTATTTTCTTTGGAATGTGTGTCTAATTTCCTATCAGAAACAAATATTTGACTCAAATAATAAATAAAGAACGTGTTCACCGAAGGTACGGACACAGCACTTTGCAAATATGCAAGTGTATTGTTTTATTTTTGTTCAACTTTGGTAGTTAATTGAGTTTCGAAGCAATCCTAACTGCATCCGTTAGAGCGAAAAATCCAAAACAAACAAAATAAAGAAGAACAAATATTTGAAATGCACATACAGAAAAGCTGTTTAAGCATGTAAAGTCTAATAAATAAATAAAAACATTTGTTAAAGTTAAAGATTTTACATACTTTGATGCAAATGAACAGATGGAAGACTTAAAGTTTTATTCAAGCTATTGACTGTAATAAAACCACACCAAACTCAAAGCAATGAAAAATAGATTTTCTTTATTAGATAAATATATTAGATATTTTTCCAATAATTTTTATAAAGGGATTAGAAGAGCAAAATGACAAAATTCTATCAAAAAAGACAGGATTAATATAAAAAAAAGATTATAATACTTTTTTTAAAGTACCTCAAATAAATTTTTCTACTTTATAATTTATATAGTTACACAGAAAATATTTAGAAGAAGAAATGATACTTTAATGGCCTATAACTTAAATCTTTTGTTCATTTTCTCACTTCTGTTATTGAGCTTAACAGGATACACTCTCATACATTCAGACATTATTGTCAGATCTTTTTTTTTTTAAGCTATAAATGTATATTTATTCTAAATTATGATTAACAAGCTGTAATAATACTTGTATCCAGAAACAACTGTCCAAAGTGTTTTCTCAAAATTTTAGTTTTACAAAATTGAGCAAAAGATCACCTTTAAAGCTTTTCTGCATTCTAGTTTCTACAGTAAATGTTAAGGCTAAAAGTCAACAATGTTATATAATAATAACTACAATGACTTTGTTCAAATAGTTAGCATATTTCCCTGAGACGTTATTTCTAATTATCTGTCTGCAGTTGCAGACTTTTGTACAGTCAAGGCCATTTTGCCTTTTTAAAATTAGTCCTCCCTTCTAGTTATTCAGATATTGGATTTTTTTAAAGAATAGAAGAAGAATATGAGAAGGAAAATGACAGAGGAACATTTCTGTAGTGCAGATGCAAGACAAGGAATAAAGCAGAAGGACGGAGCGGTGACTCACATATGAAAGTCGGCAGGTTGAAATCACTGACACTGACTAAACCGGATTATTTGCAGTTATTAAACCCATTAATATTAGTAAAGATTTTTTTTTATACAATTGGTGAAAACAATGTTAGTCAGTTAACAGAACATAATATTTTCAACATTAAAAATGAAGGAGTTATCACTATTATTTAAAAAACTTAAACAAATCATGAATAAATAAATAAAATAAATAATGATGGAATATAATATAAAATTAACATTATAATCTTTGGTTTTACATAGCTCACTAAAGTCGCCCCGTTTCTTGGAAACTAATGTTAAATCTGATTGATTTTATTGTTTCCATCTATGAACCAAGCAGCTGACTGAAAGGCAGTCAATTAGGGGAAATCTATAGGAAGCGAGCAGAAATCTGTGCCCTTCCCCCACTAAACATTGAATCATGATGAATAATCATCAGCTAGTCTCCAGATTGTGTGACAAAAGTATTTCCCTTTCCTTTCCTCCCTTCATTCACCAAGCAGT